AATTTCAAAAGCTACTGAAGAAATTTGGAGGAAACTTGGTAGAATTACCATTAATCTATTCGGTATTAACGTTCATAATTCGATTTTAAGTTTTCTGTAAATTCGCTATAAACTATGCTGGTGGACTTCAAAATAGTAATTCGCATAAAGGAGTCAGTATTGGTGACATTTAAAATTCAAAATTTTATGAAAAAAGATGTCGAATTTCGACAACTGGGCGATACTAGTTAGCTTAGTTAGTTACTAATTTATCGCAGTTTTCGTATATCTGTAAATTACCGTTATATGGGAGGTGGGCGTGGTTCTGTCAAACATTAATTCGCTTGAAATTTGGATCCTAGATAGCTTAATGCCTCGATGCACATATACTATATGTCATATAGGATAACCTTTTAAGGTAGTATTTTTTGTTATGGCCAACGCAGGCGCCGCGAACCAAGCGGGTATTTTCTAGTATATATGTGTGTATATAAACCGAATCCTTTAAGCCTTTGGGAAAGTAATTACTTAAGAATTTAATTTTTATTTGAAAACCAACAGCATTAGTTATATATATATAAAATAGCCATAAATAGACTAAGTATATCAGAGAAACAAAATTTACATTTTGCAGGCCTGTGTTATTAGTCAAGCGAAAATTACAATTTAATTTGCCCAGATCAAATGGGTTTTTTGTCCAAGCCTTGACATACGTACATTTTTTAAAAGTGACATAGTGGGTTTTGAGATATTGCTCAAAGGACCACCTCTACAATTTCGATTTATACATGTACATATATCTATAGCCCATCCAAATCATTTATACTAATGTTGGGACCTTTTCCAAAGCTACTTATTTTTTCCCCTTTCTACTACTTTTAAAATGCATGCCACAATTCAGACAGTCTACCCTTTGGTGAATTCGTACTGACATCACCTTCTCTTATTCCACCATGACATAAGAAATTGTATGTAAATAAAACACCAATTTTTCAGATAGTTTTTAGTACAGAGACCTTAAGTTTACTTGTACATGAAAAAATTTGTAACTCCCCTCCCTCCTGTCTCACTCTTTATATGGTATCAAGGCATGATTCAATAATAAAAGGTTTGCTCAGAAAACAGTTTTCTCGCTCCCTCTTGACAAAATCGGCTCCCTTAGCAAGGGAGTGTCAAAACTCTAATGTCATTAATTAGCAAACCTTTATTTATTGAATCATCGAAGCACTCATTGCTTTGTGTGCTTTGTGGATCAAATTCTTGTAAAAAAAAAATTGTTGCACTATTCTAGGGGATTCAGGTATAATAACTTGTAAATTCTATAATAACACACTTTTCATTAACTATGTAAAAAATATTGTCAATTACTTCTTGTTACAGATGGGCAAGATGTACAAGAAATTGGCGACCACGTCGAACCATACTTGCTGTATGACGATAGTGCAATGAATGAAAATTAAGAATAAAATAATGTATTTATAAAGTGTTTACATGAGTATACATATGTATGTTTGGTTGACTACGCATCTCAAAAACGGAACAAAAAAATTTAAACCGTCAGACTAAGAAAACCCCTCTAGATAATTGTCAGATTGTGGAACAGCACGACCAGGGCAGCGAGATGAACCCTCTGTATGAAAATCTGATGCGCTCGAGTAAATCGAAATGGCAATTTTTTTGTATCTTCAAAAAGACGCCACGAATTTGCGCCACATCTCAATCGTCAGATTTGTGAACATCTGACGCGCTTAAGTAAATTTTTTTCGCCCTTTTTTAACCCTTCCGTACGCCCACCTCCACCATGCAAAAAGGCAGATTAGCATATCTCCGTCATCAGAAACACATTTCTGTTATTCACTATCAATATCTGTTACGTTCGAGTAAAGCCATGTAACGCTTACTTTTACATTTTCGGAAGCCTGTAGCTCCTCCACCCACCGCTGAAAGGAAATACATCACATGAACTTTTGTTTCTTTCTATCATCTAATTATCAAAATCCATTAGGTCAAAACGACGCTCGAGTAAATTCCGATCTAGCATCGTGAGATCCCTTACTATAAATATATATGTTATAGTATTGTTACTTACTTTTTTTTCGTGGAGTGCGTAAACTTCAGAGCCAATTTCTGCAGTATCCTTTTTCATACCATAGTCACCGGGTTCCACGTAGTTATTTTCCTGTAAAATATAACTCGTTAAATTTATAAACCAAACATGAAGACTGTTCCGAAAAAAACATTCCCACGACACGCATACGCAAATAGTATAGTAAAACCGGTCAAAATTATCTATATATAATACGGGAAGGGATTTTTTGTCCAGGTCATCAGATCTGCACCGTTCGTCCGATTTACAAAAATGAGGTGTCAAATTAAAGGACTTGGGCTGTAGATGTGGTTTTACTTTTTCGAAAAGAGTTCACACCTGTTAAACAATTAAACTCTATTTTTACTAATCAGTGTCATCAGATCTGCACCGTTTGTCCAATTTTCAAAAATTAGGTGTCCAATTAAAGGTTTCACTTGTTCGAAAAAGTTGCCACCTGTTAAGAAATTAAGCAAGATTATTAAAAAAGTTAAATCCATTGTTACAATATGGGTATCAACCGAATTGGTTTTGAAAAGGCTTTATATCTTAACTACATGTAGGAGAGTTGCCACATATTTAAAAAATGTAATTCAGTTTTAATTAAAAGAATTAGGTAAGTGAATAAGGTATCACCATATGGGTGTCAGACAAAAGAGGTTTTAGAAGGTAATAGTTTGAAATTATTTTGAAGAGGGTTACCACCCGCTTGAAAAGTAGAATGAAATTAATTTATACCCAAGATATATTTAAAAATAGTTGTCAAATGAAATTTAAAAATGGATTGCTCCCATCACCCCTCCCCTGTATCCGCCACTGTGTGCAATAAGGTTTTATATTTTGAAGTTAGAACTTTTTAGAGGTATAGAGTGCTTGAAAATTTTATGACAAGAAAAGCCGACACCATGCGAGACCTCTCTTCCCTCAGAAATGTCTTTATATAAATCATTTGGAAATTGTTTGGGGGTTTTTAAAGGGTTTCAACCTGTTTAAAAAGTTTCATTCAATTTTGGCGTTTTAACGCCATGCGGGCTCACTAGTTTTATGTATTTTTCAACTCAGTAACAAAAAAAAACATCAAACTTAATTATAATTAGGGACTTACAGCCAATTTCACGAAAGCAATTTAAGTGAAAAATTATTTTCATTATTTGAATTTTATATGGAAACACAAACAACAATTCACGTTTACCATTTTCATTGACACATTCATCTGCTAAGATTGTGGTTTGGTGGTCATTTGCCGCTTTAAATAACCTAACGAAAGTGTTATGGCCGTGAAGGAGTTCTTGAAATTCTCCAATTGTGCATCACTTCATAGCACAGTTAATCGCAAAACGAAACAAATTTGAAGAACTTTTTCTCTTCACTCCCTGGCGGCAATAATGATTCGGTTCTATAGTGAATCTGTCCTAGAAGCTTTAAAGTATAGTTGGTGGCAATTTCAAAATGGGTGCGTATCATTGTCTTACAGAAATGCAATATACATACATATACTTACTTCAGACGAAATACCTTAAACGCTTAAACGCATAATATTGAAAAATCACATCCATTGGGCCAATCGTAACACAGGCCAGTTCGATAAACTCAATGGTGCAATAGGTCGATTTAATTTGACGTTCACGGCACCTTTTCTCACTTGGCGATTTTTAGTAATAACTCGACTCCAGCGCCACCTAGCAGCACTGTTTTGCAATAGTATTGCTCTCACCATTACCAATACATCTTTTAAATATTAGCTAAATCGGATTATATATAAGATTTTTAGTAATAACTCAACTACAGCGCCAACTGGCGGGTTGAATTGTTAAACTAAACCATCCAGAGACCCATTCAAACACACACACAAAATTTCGTTAAAATCCGGACACCCATTTGGGAGGATTCCACTCACAAACACAAAAAAAAAAGAATTATAAATACATTCAAAGATAGATAGAAGTCGGTAAGCCCTTTTTCAAATAGCCCACGCTCTTTTTCAAATAGCCCCATTTTTCTCCATGAGTATGGGCTTAATTTTATATACATACATATCTCCATACGAAGTTCCAGTACTGTAGCATGAACACTTCCAGAGATATTCAGTATGAAAATTCGGATTGTATGGGAGGTGCCACGTCCCCTTTACCAATAGCTCCAATTTTCCTCCAAGGGTGTGCGTTTGATTTCATATGCCTCAATACCAAGTTCCGGTACTATACCATGAACACTTTCAGAGATATGCAGTATGAAAAACTCGGTTTGTATGGGAGGTGCCACGCCCCTTTTCCCAATAGCTCCAATTTTTCTCCAATAGTGTGGAATTTATTTCATATATCTCCACACAAGTTGCTGGTGAAACCGGCAGTTATAGGTTAAAAATTACTTATTACACTTATCTTTCATTTTCGTGAAATATTCAGTTACCATAAGGACACAAAAAAACTTTTTCAGAAAAAGACAAGATGCGGTAAATTGTTCTAAGGACACAAACGTTCTCGCCGAAGCCGATTAGAGAGTATTTTTGCCCAGTTTCATACTCCTTCATAAGACCTCCAGAGGACTTTAAAATTAAAGGTATGCAACTCAGTAAATCTGGGTACCCAGCTCAGATAATGGCTGCTGACTATCGAGTACACTTTACGGCATTCGTTTTCATATATTTTTAAGTTATTTTCGATTTCGTGAGAAAGTGCAGTTTTGTAGCCCATTAAATAACACTGTGCGACACTAAAAATTACCTGGGAAGTTATGTATATTTTCTGGTAGGGGTTTTCGAGTAAAACAAGAATCGAAATATGAAATTTGCCAAACACCCCCAAAATCTTGATTTACCGTTAAAAAGCCGGTTTTTCGTACTTTTGCGCACTTATAAGCCTGTAACTTCGTTCATTATGAACCGAGTTTCGGGTTTAAAAAAAATACACTTGGGCGTTTCGAACGATATATATGTGAGTAAAGAAACCTTAAGAGATCTGTGTGTATTTACCCAGCAAACACATTTTTTTTTTTACTTTTTCGCCTTTTTAATTTTGGTGGGGTTTTTGCGCACTATTTTATAAGAAAACTATACTAGTCCTAAATTGATTGTAAAACCAAATTTAATATCGAAAAAAACTAGTGTTTATTTTAAAAAATCGGATGAAAGTTTGCTGATTTATAAAATTTTTTATGAAAACAAATTTTTTATCAAAAATATTATTTTTATATATTATATTAAATTGAAAAATGGTTATTTTTTATGAAAATATAACTTACTATCTAAAAAACATGTAAATCAAAATTTCAAAATTTGTAGAACATTTATAAAAATTCGACGAATTTGAATAAGTGTTCATCACAATTTGTGACATTTTAATCAGATTCTTTAGAATTGTTTTGAGTATGCTATATTTTGAAGCCTACTAAATTTTAGTATAATAAGGTGGAAGTTGGAGGAAGCTCGGACTTACCGTTGATTTTTGGCAATTTTTTGTTCGCGCATTTTGTTCAACAATTTTTTGCATGGAAAAAATGAGCAACACCTTCCACAAAATTTACCAACTATGAACGGTAAGTCCTAGCTACTTAAAATTTGCACTTTGAATTGAATAGGTTACAAACAAAACTGCATACTCAGAATTTGTATAATAAATCTAATTAAAAAGCTTAATATTTTTATGAACCTTTGTCGGATTTTGCTAATTTTTCAAATTCTGACTTACATGGTCTTTGTTAGATAACGAGCCACACTTTCATAAAAAGGAATAAACATTAAATAATCGAAAGGGCAATAGCCAAAGAAAGCTAAACTCTCTCTTTCCTATTTATATTTTCGTCACTCTATCTATCTTTGTTTTTGAAGGTATTAGTATTCTTTTTTATAATTTCATACATTATATTTATATACTAGCCTGAACCCGCGGCTCTGCTCACGTGGTAGAGGAATATGGTAAGACAGTTTTATAGCTTGTTTGCTATAGAATAAAATGCAATAATAACCTTGGTAGATATGACTGCATACCAAATCTCAAGTTCATTCGACTTAAGGCTCCGTTATGCATACTTGGCATGGCTTGAGAGCTGTCACATAAGAAATCTGTTAAATGAGCCTCGCGTGTAATCGGTTATCGAACGCACAGCACTACATACGTAGAAGTCTGTTGGTTTTTGATTTCTACGTAAAAATGGTATAGCAGTGCATGCAATGCCAAGCATGCATAACAGAGCCTTTATGCTTCCGAAGTTATAGCATACAAATTCCACGCCTATGGGATGTGCCACGCCCACTTTTTTAAACTCATTTATATATACCTCGGCCAAACACTAACATATGTGTAAGCGCCAATCTATTATTATTATTATTATTATTATTATTATTATTATTATTATTATATATACCTTACTATAAGCACCTACCATAGACATGTCTTCGTACCAAATTGCAAGATCTTTTGGCTTATGGTTCCGAAGTTATAGCTGATTAACAACTTTCCGGCCTATGGTAGGTGCCACTCCCCTTGCAAGATTGACTATATAGTTGCAAATCAAACCATACCTATAGCCTTCCCGCGGTAAAAACAAATAAGTGTGCAAAGTCTCGTGCGATTCCGTGTCGCGGTTCAAAAGTTATAAGGTAATAAACAAACAGACATTCATATTTATATATATAGATTATTAATTAGGATGCTGGCTATGTTTATGGCTCACTTATATTTATCCATGTCCTTTGTGATAACGAAAGTGCTGTCTCGTTTGTACGAAAAATTGTTTTGGCCAGAGTACAGAGAGTCTCAATAAATCAATAAAGAAAACACTGAAAATCTGGACCTAATCGGCACAAATATGAAAAATCGGACACTTATACGTCCCCGACTTTTAAAAAATATTCAGCGGGACAATTTTCACGAAATCGGTACTGTCCCACCAAAATCGGCACGAATGGTCACCGTAATTATAATTTACATTTACCCAGAGATGCTCAACAAAAAAACGAATCGATTTCGTTGATGTTGATGTGCAAAAAAATATATCATCAAAATAATTTCGTTACGTTTCAGAGCTAAGTTAACGAAACAAAACTCAATCGTTAACGTTGAAACGAAATAAATCACCAATCGTTAATATTGAAA